CTTCATATGAAGGTCTGAAAAGTAGAGTAGTGCATGGCCAACAGACTACAGAGGCCTTCCCAGTAAGGACTGGAGTAAGGCAGGGTTGCCTACTTTTGCCATTCCTGTTCCTGCTGGCCATAGACTGGATTATGAAGATGTCAACAGAGAAAACGCGAAACGGTAGACCGTGGACACTGTGGAGCCAGCTGGATGACCTGGACTTTGCTGACGACCTGGCCCTCCTTTCTCACACACAACAGCAAATGCAGGATAAAACCAAAAGTGTTGCAAATTTTTCTACATGCCTGGGCCTGAACATCCACAGAGGGAAAAGTAAAGTTCTCAAAGTCAATGAATCAAACAGCAACCCTATAACACTGGCAGAAGAAGCCCTAGAAGATACTTAACATATAATGAAATTACACAACATGTGCATAACATTACATAACTTGTGTATGTCATTACAAAACGTATATATGACAATAATTTTCATCAGTGAGACCAGCCCAGAAAATGGAGAGGAAGTGAAGTTCGTGCCGAGGAACTGGCGCTAATGACGTCACACTGCGACCAGAAGACCGCCCATGGTTTCTGTCTTGCTAATTATTTTTGAGCGTGCTGGCAAATGGTGTCAGACAATTATCTCTCCGGCGACGCTCCAGATTTGACACGGTTTTCAATTACAGTCAATCAGTGACGTCAGCAATATTATGCCCCAAAAATTACAATATCGATAGAGTATGTTTGGTATGTTTGGTATGTTTGGTATGTTTGGTATGTTTGGTATGTTTGCTACGTTTGGTATGTTTGGTATCTTTACAAGAGTGTGTAGCTCTATTTTATCTCCCAAGACTCGTTGGGTCTCTATCTGGTAGTGACTGAGGTATCGTATTGGGACTGAGGTATCGTATTGTGACTGAGGTATCGTATTGTGACTGAGGTATCGTTTTGGGACTGAGGTATCGTTTTGGGACTGAAGTATCGTTTTGGGACTGAGGTATCGTGTTGGGACTAAGGTATCGTGTCGCGACTAAAGTATCGTAATTTCGAGCGCGGGAGGTCTTCTATCCTCACCTGAATTAATGCCGGGCCATTTGAGGGTTGATGGCTCAATCAGCCACAATCACCAGTCACAATCACCAGTCACAATCACCAATCAGTCACAAACATGAACCCACTTTCACGGGAGCCATACAAACACAGCCCTACCATCACGGGGGCCATACAAACACGGCCCTACCACCACGGGGGCCATACAAACACAGCCCTACCATCACGGGGGCCATACAAACACAGCCCTACCATCACGGGAGCCATACAAACACAGCCCTACCATCACGGGGGCCATACAAACACAGCCCTACTATCACGGGGGCCATACAAACACAGCCCTACCACCACGGGGGCCATACAAACACAGCCCTACCATCACGGGGGCCATACAAACACAGCCCTACCATCACGGGGGCCATACAAACACAGCCCTACCATCACGGGGACCATACAAACACAGCCCTACCATCACGGGGACCATACAAACACAGCCCTACTATCAGGGCTCCTCAAACTAAGCCTTACATCAACACAAAAGTGCGACTACTTTGTTGTGTAATTGGTTTGTCAAAGGGGAGTAACTCAACAAACTATTTTTTTTTAAACTTTGTTGGACAGGATTTAATTCCCTGAAGTGCAGGACTTCAAGCTAACACGGTGGTAGTGTGTGTGGGTGGTTGTCAGGGGCGGAACTACAGTGCTACCAGACCCCGCAATGCGGGGGAGGGAGGGGGCACGCCATTTAGGGGTTAACAGCCGACCATATTCAACTTTTTGTAGGTAAAAAAATTAATTTTCTTGCATTTTTGACTTGATGGATGTTTTGTAAAATGAATACTGTAGCTGTGGTTGAATTATCTTTATTCTATAGACACCATCCCGAGTCCTATTTCTGCTACAATCAAATACACGCAGTAGTCGGCAAAATTCATTTGAAAATAAATCAAAGTCAATCTAGATACTAAGACGACTTTTGCTTCTTTATAGCATTGATTAGGGGCCAACAATCCATTGTGATACCCAACTTCGGTACTGATGGACAGAAGCACATAGGCGCTTTGTTGTCCCGTTTAAGTTCTTTTCTCAGCCCCCTAGTGGCGTAGCCAGAATCGTCTCATGGAGGGGTTCAAATTTTTTTTCATCATTATATATATATATATATATATATATATATATATATATATATATATATATATAAACATATATATATATATATATATATATATATATATATATATATATATATATATATATATATATATATATATATATATATATATATACTAGCTGTATGTCATTGCTTCGCTATGATGTAAAATAAATTGAAAGTAATACTCAGAAGAAGAAGAAATAAGAAAAAAAAACACAATGTAGGCCGACAAAACAAAACAAATTATCACTCTAAACAAAAAAAAATATACACACAATACAACCGAATACAATGAACGCAACACAATCTGTTTTGTAAATTGTAATCCTTGTAAAAAACAATTATACATAATGATTCCTAGAATATTAATTAAGACAAGCGAACAAGGGGAGATAGTCACTCTCATAAATATTTCTACAAATTTAATTGTAAATGTCAAAACAGATGGTTAGGGGGAAAGGAGGGTGGTATCGTCCTTAACGAACATCTGATAGTGTTTTAAAGCAAATATTGTTTTGGGACCCTGGCTTTCTGTCGTCGCTGGCTAGATAGGCTGGGTCAAAGCAAATACTTAATGGCGCTGAAAAACTTGTGTGATACTGGAATTGTGGAATTGTGGATCCTTACCCTCCTCTCTGTGAAAGGCTCATATATCGCTCAGTTTGAGCACACTATCATTTTGAGACCCACCTGCAAGGAGGTGGTATCAAGAGGTGAAGACTATTAAAAAGCTGTACTGGAAAACTACAGAAAAAATTGTCAGTTTTACATTATCCTTTCTTTATTGAACTCATTCAAATAGATATTAAAAGATGTAAAATAGTTTAGTAAAACGGTGAAGAATTGAAGGTTTCGTAATTTTTTTCATTATCATTTTAAAAGTTGCTTTATTGAAGTTAACCATCAAATATTAATTTTATAACGTAGTCTTTGCGGATGAGAAAGAAATGTTGAGTTAAAACCTATCAGATTTTTAAAAAAGATTTATAATGTAAGATATACCTGGAAGAAAAACAGTGATGCTTCATTCAAATAATTTCCAGGCTTTAAATAATTACATAAGTATTTTTTTTTTACCAAATTTATACTAAATGTTTAAAAGGCAATTTTACAATAGAAATCCAATTGAATTTCTAAATTTCTTTTTAGTAAACTTAAAAATTTTCTTTTTGGAATGGATGTTAAATGATGATAATTTTTGGAGTAGTGGAGGCAGATACTCATGCTTGTTTAAATTGTCAATGTGAGCATTCAGTTGCTTATTACAAAGTCAAATAAAAGGGCTTAGGTTTTTTTTTATTCTATACCTGGTGTCAGTGTACAGAAATGTAAATTATTTTGAAATTTCAAAACTGAAGTGCACTGTATTTATTTGAAAACCTAAATAAATCTTCAGACAACTAAAACAAATGAGTGTAAATTGTTTTAATTTTTTACTTAAACTAAAAAATTTTTTTATTTTTCTTCAAAACTCGAACAAGCCCGAAATGAATATTCTGTGTTTGTGTTTTCTTATTTTGTTTATATATATATATATATATATATATATATATATATATATATATATATATATATATATATATATATATATATATATATATATATATATATATATATATATATATATATATATATATATATATATGAGTGTGTGTGTGTATGTATGGGGCCCTTAAACAGTTTTTGCGGGGTGGCCCTTCTTTTCTAGTTCCGCCACTGCTTCGCGTCAATGTTACTTTTTTTTAAAATTTTTTTAGATGTGAATGATAAAGTTGCCTATCGGGACTTGGTTGGACACGGGGCAGGTGAAGTAGAGTTCAACTGTTTCTGTGTTTTAAACGATAAAAACATGTTGTCTGAGACTTGCCGAGACACTTGGCAGTTGAAGTAGAGTTGGGCAGGTGTAGAGTTCACCTGTGACGTCAGCATATGAAGGGATAGTGTGGTCAGACCTGTTCTCAGCTGGAATTCGGTGTTTTAAAAGACAAAAACATGTCTGAGTTGGCGGGACACTGGGAAGGTGAAGTAGAGTTGACCTGTGTTTGTGACCTGCTCAGCCGAAATAGGTGTCTCTTAAAAGACAAAACGTCTGAGGTGTGACGTCTTTTTGAATGTGGGGTCTGGTTTTTTTTTTTTTTTGTAACGATAAGTGACAGGCGTGATGTCCATTAAGGATTACCCCCGAGATCCAGAGTTATCCAAGGATAACAGGTAGTCTAGTATATATATATATATATATATATATATATATATATATATATATATATATATATATATATATATATATATAATGATGGAGAAAATTTGAACCAACGTGAGACGATCCTGGTTAAACCACTGGTTAGCATCATAATGTGTCCTTATGCTTATTTTTAGAATGCCAAATGCTAGTAAACTTAGAGATGCTGCAGGAAAAGTGTCATGATTCAGCGCTAACATAATAATACTTAATATATTAATATATTAGATCAATATGATTACATGAAATATGAAAAGAAACGGAAATCTTTTAGGCCCTAAGGCCTAAGGTTGAACATTAATGTGCTGACCAAAAATAAAATTTTCCAAAAACTATGCAGAAAATGACCACATGGTGGCGTGAACTCCTGCTCCCACCACCCCTGCGTACGCTAGTGATATATGAATCATGATAGATCTAAATCTAGATCTAGATTTCTATGTGTCCGGTATTTTCCTTACTGCTTTAGAAGCTTTTAATTTGTGAGCATTTTTTACCTTGACACCAATAAAAAAAAATTCCAGTTACACCGGACAGTTTGTCGTGAAGACTGAAGAGCTCGTCTGGAAAGTAGATTTTGATCTGCCTACTTAGTAACTTACTAGATCTAGATCTAGATCTAGACTCTAGTACTAGTCAAGTCCTCTAGTCTGTCTAGAATCTAGATTCTAGAATCTTGTAGAATATCTATTAGAATCTAGAAGATCTAGATTAGATCTACACATTGGGTCATTGGCGTGAATACCGATATTTTTAGACGATTAGATGTAGACTCTAATGGACACCAGCGAGAAAAGTCATTTGGACTATTTGAGAGGTGTATAAATTCATTTAAAAATCATGCACAGCGTAGTTACAATTAATATGGTTAAAAAATCCTGCCTGTCTGGGTTTTTTCGGACTTTAATAAAGATTGGATGTAGTTGATGTTTATAATATTTTCGGTAGGCCCTAACTAAATAAAAATTAAAAAAAAAAGCAAAAACAATTTGGTTTTCACGTGTAATGGCGACATAAACAATCATGGCATCCTGCTATTGGATAGGCCGTCATAGATTTATTGTACACATTGTAAGCTAAAAATAGAAAACTAGGTCATGGGGTTTTAAATGTGCATTGTTATTTAAAAACTTGATCTGCAAAGTTTTGTAAACAAATAGTTATCGATCACTAAGTTACTGTACAGCCAATCAATATTTGTCTTACGAAAGTGAAACATCCGGTTATAACTTAGGCTTGATGAAAATAAATAGAAATGTAGCCTTAAACTCAACAAATTATTTTCAAGTTCTCTAGATTTGTAACTTTTATAGCATTTATTCTAAGAATATAAAATTTCTAAATTAATTTTAGGCTTAAGTTTTTATTTTTTATATTTTTTTTTACGGTCTAGAGGAGTTTACACTTTTCGGACACACACCAAAAATTACGTAGGACCGAACACTTCGTCGGTTTTTGGCTCATAGAAACTTTAATTAGCATGTCTCACGCGAAACCACGGCGCCTGCACGTAAACTTTTCATTTATGAACACTTCCGTGTCAAGTACTTCCGTTTCCTTTCTCAAGAATTATTTTTAGAAATTTTTTAACGTTGCATGGTACGCACATTTCTATTTTTACACCAGCCGGATGAAGTGACCTAGGGTTGGACTTAGGGGCAAAACTTGAACCAATCAATGCTTAGCTAAAAGGTTACACTATAAATAGCTTCTATATATGTATGGAACATCGTAAATGTCAAGGTTAATGGGTTTTTTCGTGCTTGAACAATAAAAAAGGGGTGTTCGCTAACTTATTTGGCCTTACATGGGAGCGGACAACAACACAAAAATATTATTAAATAAGAATTTAGAGCATAAAAGGGGCTGGTTATTGAAGGGAAAGGGTCAAAATAAGGTCAAGAAGGCAGTGGAATGCGAAAGAGGAGGGGGAATCATGTGACCTGGCTGGCTTAGCAGCGTACTGCGCGAGCCGCAATGGCTGAATGGGATGAACTTTGGGAGTGTGGGAAAAAGGTTTTATACTATTAAAATTACCTCACAAACAATCAATAACACAATATAAATGCATATAATATATGTTTTTATTCATTAAATTGACTTTAAATTATTCTAAATGAACAAAAAGTGCTATATCCGATGACGGGTAAAGGTGTCCGAACACATGTAAAACTGTATTACATGTGTTTGAACACACGTTAAGACCCCCCAGTCACTATAACAAGAATAGCTTAAGTTCTATGCGTATGAATACAAAATGACACACACATTATTAAAGTAGAATGGTTGCGGATAGATATGATACTTTTTTTTGTTTTCTATGTTAAGCGGTTACTGAATGAGACCGCATGGAATTTTTACGTTGCGTTTTTTCGCTATGTGTGTCCGAAAAGTGTAAGCTCCTCTAAATCTAAAAAGCACGTTTTTATTCCATGTCAACAACATTATGGAAGGAATCTCGTCAACTCGCTCGCCTCCATTAGTCTAGTAGTAATTAGCTGTTTGCATTCTCTAGCCGTTTCAAAATTTAATTAAACAATGCATTTTCGTATCTATTTATTAAATTTAACACGTAAGTTACTAGTCTAGATTCTTCTTAGCTCTACTAGTTAGCCTACTATTAGATTCTATTACTATAGTGAGTAGTATAGTAATTAGTAATAGTATAATACTATAGTTAATACTATTAACTTAATAGTTAAGTATAGGCTACTACTAATTAGTAATTAGGCCTACTAAATTTTAAATTACTACTTGATCTAGATCTAGTACTAACTTCTAGATCTAGTTACAACTAGTACTCTAGTACTAGATCATCTACTAACTAAATCTAGTTACTAGTACTAGTCTAGAATTCTAGATATAAAGTCCTAAGCTTAGTTAATAGTAGGCCTATCAACTATTAAATTTAAGGAAATATTTTAGGCATAGTCCCCTATTTAATTTTATTAATTATTATAAGTTCTACATAAATTTAAGATATTACAATATTACATGATTGGTTCAAAAATAGATACCCATACCTAATATCCAAAAACTAAAAATTGATCAGACAGGCCAGCTGGCAAAAATTAGGGGAAAGAAAAAACAACCAGAAATCTCGCTACATCCAAAAGAATCATAAAAAAGCAATCACCACAAATGTGGTCTGACACACACCCACACTACAAAAAAGATGATGGATATTACAAATTGACACGAAAACAACAACACATAATCATTAGACTCAGAACAGGCCACAACAGACTAAAATAGCACATGCATAAAAAAACTAAACATTGGGTATGGCGAAACTTGCCCTTGTGGCATGGCCCCAGGGAATACGGAGCATGTCCTTCAAGACTGTTCATTATATAGACAGGCACGATCCAAACACTGGCCCCTATACACCCCACTCAAGGAAAACTATATGGGGCACCCGCGGATCTAGAGACCACAGTCCAGTTCATACACGAAGTTGGACTTGTTGTTTAAATCCTCCACCATAACCTAAATTAAAAACGCAGAAGAAGATCAGACAGGAATCTAGATAAAAGTCCGTAAAAAGAAAAGACATTATTTTGTCTGATCAACTTTTTTACTGTAAAATAAAGCCTACTTCATTTTTTTTCTCTTCTATTTCTATAGTAGCCTTAGGCTAAGTATTTTTTCCACTATCTCATGCGTATTAGATCTAGTATAAGCTTTTGTAAACTTAAAATGACATTAAGTATGCCTGTGCTTCAATTGGCTGAGTTTTTGATGAGTTTGAATGTAGATTTGTGTTTCCATTGAACATCTAGCAAAAGAGACAAAAGTTTGATTCCTGTGAATGGTTGCGCTCATGGAGACAGAGGATGTAGAAATGAGGAGAGGAACATTGGAGAGGTCACCAGATGGTCATGATAAGGTTTGCTTTTGTTACAAATTGTAGTCTGCTCATGCTATTATTTGTAGTTGATCCAGCATGATTGTAGTTTGTTGATCCAACATGATACAAACGAGCTGATGTAGGATATCTGTCAACAGATTGGGGCTACGCTTGAAGCTCGTCCCAACAAGGATGGTATGGCTATCAAAAGAAATCTGAAAGGGAAACCAAAGCCACTTTACTTCTGGAATGGGGCAGATGTCAACAAGTGGCTGAGGAAACATGGTGGTCACTACTACGAGTTGTATGGAGATATCTGGAGCAGGCATGAAGTCACAGGTATACTAGTCAGTGGTTTGGTCACAGGTATACTAGTCAGTGGTTTGGTCACAGGTATACTAGTCAGTGGTTTGGTCACAGGTATACTAGTCAGTGGTTTGGTCACAGGTATACTAGTCAGTGGTTTGGTCACAGGTATACTAGTCAGTGGTTTGGTCACAGGTATACAAGTCAGTGGTTTGGTCACAGGTATACTAGTCAGTGGTTTGGTCACAGGTATACAAGTCAGTGGTTTGGTCACAGGTATACTAGTCAGTGGTTTGGTCACAGGTATACTAGTCAGTGGTTTGGTCACAGGTATACAAGTCAGTGGTTTGGTCACAGGTATACTAGTCAGTGGTTTGGTCACAGGTATACTAGTCAGTGGTTTGGTCACAGGTATACTAGTCAGTGGTTTGGTCACAGGTATACTAGTCAGTGGTTTGGTCACAGGTATACTAGTCAGTGGTTTGGTCACAGGTATACTAGTCAGTGGTTTGGTCACAGGTATACTAGTCAGTGGTTTGGTCACAGATATACTAGTCAGTGGTTTGGTCACAGGTATACTAGTCAGTGGTTTGGTCACAGGTATACTAGTCAGTGGTTTGGTCACAGGTATACTAGTCAGTGGTTTGGTCACAGGTATACTAGTCAGTGGTTTGGTCACAGGTATACTAGTCAGTGGTTTGGTCACAGATATACTAGTCAGTGGTTTGGTCACAGGTATACTAGTCAGTGGTTTGGTCACAGGTATACTAGTCAGTGGTTTGGTCACAGATATACTAGTCAGTGGTTTGGTCACAGGTATACTAGTCAGTGGTTTGGTCACAGGTATACTAGTCAGTGGTTTGGTCACAGGTATACTAGTCAGTGGTTTGGTCACAGGTATACTAGTCAGTGGTTTGGTCACAGGTATACTAGTCAGTGGTTTGGTCACAGGTATACTAGTCAGTGGTTTGGTCACAGGTATACTAGTCAGTGGTTTGGTCACAGGTATACTAGTCAGTGGTTTGGTCACAGGTATACTAGTCAGTGGTTTGGTCACAGGTATACTAGTCAGTGGTTTGGTCACAGGTATTCTAGTCAGTGGTTTGGTCACAGGTATACTAGTCAGTGGTTTGGTCACAGGTATACTAGTCAGTGGTTTGGTCACAGGTATACTAGTCAGTGGTTTGGTCACAGGTATACTAGTCAGTGGTTTGGTCACAGGTATACTAGTCAGTGGTTTGGTCACAGGTATACTAGTCAGTGGTTTGGTCACAGGTATACTAGTCAGTGGTTTGGTCTCAGGTATACTAGTCAGTGGTTTGGTCACAGATATACTAGTCAGTGGTTTGGTCTCAGGTATACTAGTCAGTGGTTTGGTCACAGGTATACTAGTCAGTGGTTTGGTCTCAGGTATACTAGTCAGTGGTTTAGTCACAGGTATACTAGTCAGTGGTTTGGTCACAGGTATACTAGTCAGTGGTTTGGTCACAGGTATGCTAGTCAGTGGTTTGGTCACAGGTATGCTAATCAGTGGTTTGGTCACAGGTATACTAGTCAGTGGTTTGGTCACAGGTATATTAGTCAGTGGTTTGGTCTCAGGTATACTAGTCAGTGGTTTGGTCTCAGGTATACTAGTCAGTGGTTTGGTCTCAGGTATACTAGTGAGTGGTTTGGTCACAGGTATACTAGTCAGTGGTTTGGTCACAGGTATACTAGTCAGTGGTTTGGTCACAGGTATACTAGTCAGTGGTTTGGTCACAGGTATACTAGTCAGTGGTTTGGTCACAGGTATACTAGTCAGTGGTTTGGTCTCAGGTATACTAGTCAGTGGTTTGGTCACAGATATACTAGTGAGTGGTTTGGTCACAGGTATACTAGTCAGTGGTTTGGTCACAGGTATACTAGTCAGTGGTTTGGTCACAGGTATACTAGTCAGTGGTTTGGTCACAGGTATACTAGTCAGTGGTTTGGTCTCAGGTATACTAGTCAGTGGTTTGGTCACAGATATACTAGTGAGTGGTTTGGTCACAGGTATACTAGTCAGTGGTTTGGTCACAGGTATACTAGTCAGTGGTTTGGTCACAGGTATACTAGTCAGTGGTTTGGTCTCAGGTATACTAGTCAGTGGTTTGGTCACAGGTATACTAGTCAGTGGTTTGGTCTCAGGTATACTAGTCAGTGGTTTGGTCTCAGGTATGCTAGTCAGTGGTTTGGTCACAGGTATGCTAGTCAGTGGTTTGGTCACAAGTATACTAGTCAGTGGTTTGTGCTGAAACGAAGGTGGGGGTGTTCTCTCAGTTTTCGACACAAGTGGTTATGGTGAAGCAAATAGTTTTTATCTCCATTCTTACAAGTAACACTGTCCATACCACATTAATTTTCCTTGACAGCAAAACATACTGTTCCACATGCGCTCACTCACTATAAATCCACTGTCACGCCATCTGTGGTTTTCCTGCTTGCACTGGTACTCTCAGTTCAACAACATACACATCAACAAGCCCAGTCTAAACACTGAATACAACAAAATGGTACATACACAACATACACATCAACAAGCCCAGTCTAAACACTGAATACAACAAAATGGTACATACACAACATACAGTTGACAGTAGCTCACATACACACCTATCATACTGTAATTCTGTATACCTTTTTATTTAGACGTCAAGACAGTTATTTAAGCTACCCATGCTTAATTAAGGTCTACTGATGTTAACTTGAGATTTTGATTCAGTCAGTTCTTTAAGCTACCCATGTGCTACTATATCTTATGTTAAATATTTTTCTCATCACATCAGGTCGTACACTAATTAGAATGAATGAAATCAAGTTGGAAAAGATGGGAATACTCGATGCAACACATAAGTATGTGCTTTTTATTAAAGTTTAATGTTGCATTTCATTGTTAAAGTGTAAGTTTAAAAAATGTATACACATGACTTATATATGAAAACTATGACTTTAATATTAATGCATATATTAGATTTAAAAAATTGAGAATTGAAGTTGTAAAAGATGAAGAAACATATTTATAAAGCTGTGATGATTCCTGTAACTGATTGAGCACTTCTGTGTGTCCAGGCATGATTTAATGCAGTTCATATTGAGGCTCCGTCTGAAGCACGAAATGTCTGATATTCGTGGTCTGAATCAGCGAGGTCAGTGCTAGTTAGATTGGTGGAGAGTTCTTAAAGTTGATCAAGTTTGAATTGTTAGGCATGTTAATCATGATAATAATAAAGATCACATTTGCACTTTAGCTTTAATAGAAAGTTTATTTGATCAAATGTCACGTACAATTTGTCAAAATTATTTTCAGGGTCTGGTTTTGAATTGAAGTTGCCAGAGACCAGACAATCCTCCATGGATAAATCTCCATTACTGGGATAGCTATTATTGACTGGTCACCACCATATTATGGCCATATTGTCCATATTGACTGTGTCACCACCATATTGGCTGGATCACCACCATGTTGACATGTTGACCATGTCACCACCATATTGACTGTGTCACCACCATATTGACTGTGTCACCGACTGTGTCACCACCATATTGACTGTCACCACCATATTGACTGTGTCACCACCATATTGACTGAATCACCTCCAAATGTTTGCCTATTCTTACTTGTTATACAATTGTACATTTTATAGAAAACTAGACCTTCAAGAAAAACATAACACCATGTTGGACACTAGGATCAGTAGAAAAAGTGAAATAAAAATGTTTAGCTTTTCCTATTAGTTTCATAATGACAAGACTATAGTAATATGTAAAGCATGAACAGCCAACCACATTCAACACAATCCCACAATTGGTCTTTTACCTGGACAGTAAACTTTTACCTGGACACTGTCTTATAGTAAACTTTTACCTGGACAGTAAACTTTTACCCGGACAGTAAACTTTTACCTGGACACTGTCTCACAGTAAACTTTTACCTGGACAGTAAACTTTTACCTGGACACTGTCTTACAGTAAAATTTTACCTGGACAGTAAACTTTTACCTGGACACTGTCTTACAGTAAACTTTTACCTGGACAGTAAACTTTTACCTTGACACTGTCTTACAGTAAACTTTTACCTGGACAGTAAACTTTTACCTGGACACTGTCTTACAGTAAACTATTACCTGGATGCTGTCTTACAGTAAACTTTTACCTGGACACTGTCTTACAGTAAACTTTTACCTGGATGCTGTCTTACAGTAAACTTTTACCTGGACAGTAAACTTTTACCTGGACAGTAAACTTTTACCTGGACAGTAAACTTTTACCTGGATGCTGTCTTACAGTAAACTTTTACCTGGACAGTAAACTTTTACCTGGACAGTAAACTTTTACCTGGACAGTAAACTTTTACCTGGACAGTAAACTTTTACCTGGACAGTAAACTTTTACCTGGATGCTGTCTTACAGTAAACTTTTACCTGGACAGTAAACTTTTACCTGGACAGTAAACTTTTACCTGGACAGTAAACTTTTACCTGGATGCTGTCTTACAGTAAACTTTTACCTGGACAGTAAACTTTTACCTGGACAGTAAACTTTTACCTGGACAGTAAACTTTTACCTGGATGCTGTCTTACAGTAAACTTTTACCTGGATGCTGTCTTACAGTAAACTTTTACCTGGACAGTAAACTTTTACCTGGATGCTGTCTTACAGTAAACTTTTACCTCTATGCTGTCTTACATTCAATTGAATATTTTTATTCTTTCATTGAAAGCAACTAAATTTTAAGGTAATTTATTGGACTTGTGTTGGTTGATTTGTTTTACCCTGTCAGTGTAGAAAACGTGTACATATTTATGTACTATTGATATTTGTATGTGTATAAAGATTTCAGCTGTTAAACCCCTCAAATAAATCATCTTTGGATTGCCTCTTGCCACAAATTTTTGTTGCATGTATGATATATGATTGACACCATTTGAAACTAACATCTACATTATTTGAGCTATTGTTGCATGTATGATATATGATTGACACCATTTGAAACTAACATCTACATTATTGGAGCTATTGTTGGATGTATGATATATGATTGACACCATTTGAAACTAACATCTACATTATTTGAGCTATTGTTGCATGTATGATATATGATTGACACCATTTGAAACTAACATCTACATTATTGGAGCTATTGTTGGATGTATGATATATGATTGACACCATTTGAACATCGGGGCGGATAACTCTACATTATTGGAGCTATTTCTGTCATTGAGATCACTTGAGACAGACTTTCAGAAATAACAAATATTAGTGAGTAACATTTTTATAAAGCTCCCCTCACACACAATTGTTTTCAGTCTCATATGAACTCGGGCTATCTATTGTACGTACACAAATATTTATTTGTATACTTGTTAAGCTATGTGGCCTATAGTTTGTGCTACATGGCCTATAGTTTGTGTTAAGCTACATGGCCTATAGATTGTGTTATGCTACATGGCCTATAGTTTGTGTTAAGCTACATGGCCTATAGTTTGTGTTAAGTTACATGGCCTATAGTTTGTGTTAAGCTACATGGCCTATAGTTTGTGTTAAGCTACATGGCCTATAGTTTGTTTTAAGCTACATGGCCTATAGTATAGTTTGTGTTAAGCTACATGGCCTATAGTTTGTGTTAAGCTACATGGCCTATAGTTTGTGTTAAGCTACATGGCCTATAGTTTGTGTTAAGCTACATGGCCTATAGTTTGTGTTAAGCTACATGGCCTATAGTTTGTGTTAAGCTACATGGCCTATAGTATAGTTTGTGTTACGCTACATGGCCTATAGTTTGTGTTAAGCTACATGGCCTATAGTTTGTGTTAAGCTACATGGCCTATAGTTTGTGTTAAGCTACATGGCCTATAGTTTGTGTTAAGCTACATGGCCTATAGTTTGTGTTAAGCTACATGGCCTATAGTATAGTTTGTGTTAAGCTACATGGCCTATAGTGTGTGTTAAGCTACATGGCCTATAGTATAGTTTGTGTTAAGCTACATGGCCTATAGTATAGTTTGTGTTAAGCTACATGGCCTATAGTTCGTGTTAAGCTACATGGCCTATAGTATAGTTTGTGTTAAGCTACATGGCCTATAGTTTGTGTTAAGCTACATGGCCTATAGTTTGTGTTAAGCTACATGGCCTATAGTTTGTGTTAAGCTACATGGCCTATAGTTTGTGTTAAGCTACATGGCCTATAGTTTGTGTTAAGCTACATGGCCTATAGTTTGTGTTAAGCTACGTGGCCTATAGTTTGTGTTAAGCTACATGGCCTATAGTTTGTGCTACATGGCCTATAGTTTGTGTTAAGCTACATGGCCTATAGTTTGTGTTAAGCTACATGGCCTATAGTTTGTGTTAAGCTACATGGCCTATAGTTTGTGTTATGCTACATGGCCTATAGTTTGTGCTACATGGCCTATAGTTTGTGTTAAGCTACATGGCCTATAGTTTGTGTTAAGCTACATGGCCTATAGTTTGTGTTATGCTACATGGCCTATAGTTTGTGTTAAGCTACATGGCCTATAGTTTGTGTTAAGCTACATGGCCTATAGTTTGTGTTAAGCTACATGGCCTATAGTTTGTGTTAAGCTACATGGCCTATAGATTGTGTTATGCTACATGGCCTATAGTTTGTGTTAAGCTACATGGCCTATAGTTTGTGTTAAGCTACATGGCCTATAGTTTGTGTTAAGCTACATGGCCTATAGTTTGTGTTAAGCTACATGGCCTATAGTTTGTGTTAAGCTACATGGCCTATAGTTTGTGTTAAGCTACATGGCCTATAGTTTGTGTTAAGCTACGTGGCCTATAGTTTGTGTTAAGCTACATGGCCTATAGTTTGTGTTAAGCTACATGGCCTATAGTTTATGGACGACCCCTTACATATTCAATTACGCATGTATACTGATTCAAAAATAGATTTAAATAAGTAGCGGATAATTAACTGTGCGATCAGTGTTAGTTTAAATTGAGTTGTTGTTTTTTTTAATACAAAATATAGCATTATTCAAATATAATATAGATCTAGTAAACTAAAATAATAATTAATAGAAAGTTGGTACTGTTTCATATAATTTGTAATCTTAATGAAACTGTCATAATACTACTACTTCATCGTGATGACGTTGTTGACCTTGTCAAAATTTCCCTACCGCTACGCAGTTCGCCCATAAGTAAATTTAAATAGAGGTGCCACATCAGTTGTATTTGTGTCTGTATTTTAATTTTAAAAAATAAATTACACGATTTAAACTGTATATATAAAGTAATTATGTTTGAAGTATTATATGTAACATTTTCTAATTCAATTATTCGTAAGCAAATACATTATACAGTTGCCTTAAACTTAACACCCCTCTTGCCAAGTGATACTACCGTAGAGGTTTTTTAAACATTGCAATGCATCCTAATGGTTATTTTTAGAATGACAAACTGATACAGCTGTTAATACGTGTTGTAAACGTTGACTCTACTAGTCTATTACTGTTGTAAATAATTGCTGCATGAAATAAATCTTGTGATTTGCATAGATGTGCCGACCAAAGATAATTTTTTAACAAATATTGTTTAAAACTTTGAGTTTAAAAAGTTTCCAAAAAGACGCCACTTTGCTAAATATGGCCAGAGGGGGAGCGGCCGCTCCCCCTGCCCCCCCCCCCCCCCCACTGCGTACGCTACTGGCTGGGAACTAACATAAATGAGTGGTGTTAACCAAGTTTTACCTTTTTACGCTGAGAACTAACGTAACTAAGTGCCGTCTCGCTGTTTGATTCTAATAAAAAGTTCAAGCTACACCAAAATACGCAACAGAAAAACTACGAACTTTAAACATTTAATGGGTCGTTCATAAATGACGTCACACTCGTAGGTTGGAGGGGGGGTCCGTGTTTAGAAAACTTTTAATAAATTGATCAAAATACTCAGTTGACAGAGTCCAGACAAGATTTTGGAAAAATATCAATGTTTTAAGAGAAATTGATCTGCGTTTTCGAGGGGGGGGGGTTGTGGGCTGAGGCGTGACGATATTTTAGGAGGGGGTCTGGTAAAAATCGTCAAAAAAAGCGCAACATTATTTCTAACTTCTATCATCAATTATGATCAATTGTATCAGGGTTTCTTTTTCATTTCGGCGGGGGGGGGGGGGGGGGGGGGGGGATAAGACGTATGTTCACTCCACATTCTTCCCCCCCCCCCCCCCCCAAAGATATGCCTGGAAGGAACTAGAAATGTTTTCACGTAAATATGTTTTATTAATTACTCGAGGCGTGATGACGCCGAAGGCAGGCAAACTGAGGCACAAGGTCAGACTCTTGAGTTGGTGAACATCTCCTGTTTTCATTGAGGCACAATGTCAGTCTCTTGAGTTGGTGAACATCTCCTGTTTTCATTGAGGCACAATGTCAGTCTCTTGAGTTGGTGAACATCTCCTGTTTTCGGCAACCAGCGATCTGTCCAAGTGAAGCCTTGTGGCCTAAACGAGAGACCTACTTTCTGCTATCTTTGGATTTCAAGATGGCCACCAACCAAGCGTCACTAGCCTAGTGACAAAGTTAAGCTGATACCTATATCGGTAGACCCTTTTTTTAGATTTCAGACACAAATATTAAATGTATATTAATAGTATAACAAAAAGGTGTGATTTTGTTACAATTTTGCAAATTTACAAAAAAAAAAAAAAACTAGTTTAAAAAATTCAATGAAACTACGCACGGACATGAAGAATGATAAAATAAACGTCATTTTTTTTAAATTTCAGATACTATTACACAGCATACAAAAAATGTCTATTGTAAACTTTTAGTGACAAAAATCAACAAATCTCCCTGAATTTGGGGTATGCGCCATGTATGGATAGGCCTAAGTAGTTTATTTTTTAAGATATACTGGAAAAAAAAACAGCCCACATGACCCCATTCGCATCTCTTTGAGTCCTTAAACGACATGTAGATCTTTCTAAGATAGCGTGTATAGATGTACATAATTTTAGAGATGAATACCATTTTTTAACACGTTTTTCTTAACTCAGCTTCGCGTTTGTGGATGTGTTTGTTGTTAAAATTGACATCGAAAATTAGCCCACTTCTGATTGCTCTATAGATCTGAAATTTGGCATGCAGGCTACTTTCGCCTAACAATTTCAGATGCAATCATAAAAACTAGCAATTAGAGACCGTAATTAGCTTAATTTAATTACGCCCTAAGGACCATAAAATTGAGGACATGATTTCTAAAGATACCGACAAGACTGAAGGCCTATTGACACAGTTACTTCGGCCCCAATCGATGTGAGCGCGCTGGCCGTGATCGTATAGTGGTTAGTACTTCGCGTTGTGGCCGCGACAACCCAGGTTCGAATCGCTCAAGATTTTTAGTCCGTGTATTTATAAACACTTAGTCAAGTCATACTTAATCAAGTCATTGGATAAAGTAGAAAATAAACTATATAAAAAACTTTTTTTAAAAACCACGTTTTTCATGTGTAGCAACGGACTAAAAAGGAGAAAATAAAATACTTAAAAAAAACTTTAAAAAACCACGTTTTTCTTGTGGACTAAAAAGTAGAAAATAACTATTTACATACATTTGATGACAAAAAACGTGGGTCGGGCAGATGGGTCGGGAAATTTGATGGTGAACGTACCCACGTTTTTTGTCATCAAATGCATGTAAATAGTTATTTTCTACTTTTTAGTCCACAAGAAAAACGTGGTTTTTTAAAAAGTTTTTTTAAGTATTTTATTAATGGACTGTTTTAGAAATAATGTGCAGATAAGTGATGTAAAATGGCTGAAATAACATAGGGAACAACACAACCATTCTCCCGCATCTTGCGCCAGTACAGGTCAAGATTTCTTACTTTCGTTGTCCGTCCATATTGTGTGTTGTTGACGTTTTGCGTTAAAGCCAGCCTTTGTACCAGTGGCGTAGCGAGGTCGGGTGTCACCCGGTGCGGCACTTAATGGTGTCACCCCCCCCCCCCCTGAGGCGCAGCGACCCTTCCCGTGGACACATTTTCGATTTGCACCCCCCTCAAACTTTCGATTTGCAACCCCCCCCCTCAAAGTTTTCTCTATATATTTTGCTATTTTTTGCCTTCGTGTCACCCCCCCCCCCCCTTAAATGTTGTCACCCCGGTGCGGTCCGCACCCCTCCCGCCTTCGCTACGCCTCTGCTTTGTACAGAGTTTCTTCCTGAAATAAATTTAAATAATTTATATAGAAAATATATACTTTTAACAGTGTCCCCCCCCCCCGAAGAAAGTCTACCACCCCCCCCCCCCCCCCGAAAATTTCTAGTGCCCCCCCCCCCCCCCCCGGAGAAAAACGTCTGGAAGAAACACTGGCTTTGTACCGTGTCGGGTTTCTGTTTTGTTTCTATGCTATGTTACGTAATGAGCATGATGAATGTGGTCAGAAAAGGTGGTTGAACTATTGCTGCGGTGAGTTGAGGGCAAGTCAGATTAGCAACGTCTTAATGCCATTTCACACTAATTTAAAATACACGATGAAAACCGAAAAGGCGGAACATTCTATTAAGGGGTCATCCATAAATGACGTCACGCTTTTTTTGACGATTTTTACCTCCCCCCTCACCTCCGTCACACGTCGTCACAAAAAGCCAGACCCCCCCCTAAAATGACGTCACACCTCAACCTACAACCCCCCTCAAAATTGCAGTTGAATTTTTTTAAAAACATCGATATTTTTCCAAAAATTTGTCGAAACTATTACTATTTATTAAAACAGTTATCTAAAACGCGAAATAACGTCTAAAATTCGTTTTCTAACATTGCTTTTTTATAATGCAAAAGTTTGACGTCGCAACATCTGAACCTCCCCACCTCCCCCTCATCACACATCGTCACAAAATTACGGACCCCCTCTCCCCCCTACGAGTGTGACGACATTTATGGATGACCCCTAAATTCTATTGAATATTATATGTATAGCGGAATGAAAGCCTCATACACACTTCATGCTAAGTATTTTTACGTTTGCTATAAATACTACTATACATAGACAACCTACGCAGACTACATTGCAGTTAATTAAATTAAGTTGATTTGCACTCTCTGAATATTTAACACATAAAAGTATTAACAAATTCCATGCAGATATATAATTGTGATTTTTTTCCTGTGACTATTAACATTGTTTTATGTGTTGTTTTTGTTCCCTGTGACTTTTTTCCTACAATCGGACTAGCAGCTCATCATGGGATGGGGGACATCAAAGGATAAGTAGACCTGCTAAGGTTGCCCGTTGTTTTTTTTACTTTCTATCCCCGTGTAAAGGTGAAGAGTATAAAAATGTATACATTTATGTGGGGGGGGGGGGGGGGGGTGGGGATGTCTAAGACTTTTTGTGAGAATGGGATGGAGGTGAAAAAAGCGTGACGCTAGTTTATGGGAGACCACGAGGCTTTGTACAATTATTGATATTGTATATTTTGATTAATTAATAATCACACACAATTATATTAATATTCAAATTGCAAATTAGTTGGGTATTTTTGTGTGCAACGGATGCTGGAACATCCTCAGTTTAGATTCTAGATCTTTAATTGGACGGATCTAATTGTTCTAATTGTTCCAATTCTATATATAAATTATATAGTCTAATAATTATAAAAAGAACACACTACTCTTACAAGTAGAATGTCGCTGTAGAGATATATTCTAGGATCTAGAATCTAGATCTAGAATCTAGATCTAAATATATTTTTGGCAATTTTCCTAAATTTAATCTGGCGTTTCTGCTAGAACAAAATCTAGATATATAATCAATCATTCTAATGTTACGGTTTATAAACCTGCTTTAACAAGTGTACACAACTAATCTATCGATCTTGGAAATTCTATAATTCTAGACTAGATCTAGAACGATAACGTAGTTCTAGATATAGACTAGATCTAGATGCTCTAGATAGTGTATATAGAATCTAGGCCTTAAGTATATAGCCTAATTAATAGGCCTAGGCCTATATATTAATAATATTATAAAATTATTATTATTAATATTATAACAGTGATCACCTACTAACTTAGTACTAGAATCTAGTACTAGTCAAGGTAGGTACTAGATCTAGTGCCTACTAGTCCTACTATTTAAAATACTATTTATTACTATTTAATATTTATAAGCCTAGGGCCTATAATAATACTAGATCTATACTAGTATATACTATAGGCCTATAGCCTATAATTTCTTTGGTAATCTATCGTTTTGGGTACGTAAAATCGCCCGCGGCTATTAATGTACGAAAACGTTACCTCATTGTCAAGGCTTTAATAGGAGTATATTGTCATATGTTTGTGTCAAATATTATAGATAAATGAATAATAAACCTAAATCAATGGCTAAATATATCGATATAGGCCAGAAATTAACTTTAAACAGCAGTGTCTGAGAGCAAGATTTGCTATATAAACAGCAGCCATTTGTAAAATAGAGTGGCTTCCCCCTGATCTCGCGCTAAAAGCTTATAAAAATAAAACTTAAACAAGATGGCTGCTATAGTAAATGAGCATGGTTGCATCTGTTGGAAACATCGCTAGTCTTCATTTATTACTGAAAAGTTTTAATTCAATTCTTTAAAAACAGGTACATAAATGAAACAACGAAACATTTTTGTATTTTAAAAAATATAAATCCTCCTCAAAATGTGAAATAATTATTAAAATTTAAGGAGTCACCTGGTTTTCACATTACAAGTCGCGGGCGATTTTACGTACCCAAAACGATAGATTACCATTTCTTTAATTATATATATACTTATAATATTCAATAGGCCTATAATTTTCAATATTAAAATAATAAATATTCTATTATTCAATATTTTGTATGAATGTATGTTATCATGATGTAAAGTTGAGTAAAGTAAAGCTACTATTTAACTATTAGGATTATTTATTAACTACTACTAGATCTAGATCTAGTTCTATAGACAAGGCCTATCCCTAGTCTATACTACTAAATAGTAACTAGTAGATCTATAATAAATTAATAAAATATTTAGTATTTAGGCCTATCCTATAACTATATTTTTTTCTATAACTAATAATAACTAGATCTATAGGCCTAATCAAATCTATATTCATCACTATTATATTATTGGTAGCTGGTACGGGTTTAAAAGTTAATTTAACATCGTCATCAATCTAATTTAATTGTAAATAATTTAGGCCTAAGAGGTCGTCCATAAATGACGTCACACTCGTAAGGGGGAGGGGGAGGTACGGAATTTTGTGACGGTGTGTGATGAGGGGGAGGGGTGTTTGTGTGGTCATCATGTGGTGTTTGTGTGGTCGTGTGGTGTTTGTGTGGTCATCACGTGGTGTTTGTGTGGTCATCGATGTTAAAAAAAATTCAACTGCAATTTTGAGGGGGGGGGGGGTTGTACGCAGAGGAGTGATGTCATTTTAGGGGGGTGGGTTGGCTTTTTGTGACGATGTTTGACGGAGGGGAGGGGGGTAGGTAAAAAAAAAAGTAAAAAAAAAAAGCGTGACATCATTTATGGATGACCCCTAACTGGCCCATGCAGGCCTATGCCTATTGTATCATTTTTGTTTTTAAATAGGGCCAAAAGCTCGCTGCATCAAACAAATACATCATTGGCTTTTCTACCAGATCTAAATAACTTTTTAAATAGTCTAAGATATCGATCTAGGATCAATCTAGATCTACCATTTGTTTCACACATGGATTTTCCAAAAAATGTATAAATTGTCACAAATGTTGCTGTTAATAGGCATACTATCTGTATAAATTGTCACAAATGTTGCTGTTAATAGGCATACTATCTGGGTCTTGGTAAAATGCGGGATGGGAATTACAAGGCTGTAAAATGCTAAAGGGTGCGAAAACTACCTGTACATGACAGTTTTGGCTTGCATTTACCCCCACTTACAGAGAGTAAACTGCGATGATATATGCAAAAACTTTTATGCACCTGAATTCAGTGTTGATGATTTACATGAACTTTGATGATGACAAAATTCAAGTTGTTTTAATGCAGCTGCTCGCTGCTAATGTATTTAGAATCCAATAAATCTGATGGGCGAGGTTTTACGTACCCGAAATTTGGCTATGATCGAGCAATTTATTTTTAATTTTGTCGATGATTGAACACCTTTCTATTGTTTTGATTAGTTCCAAACAGCCTAAAATATCACATTAATTTAAAAAATTTTCATTTAAACAGATTTTAGTTTTATATTAGTCCCTAAATATCCGCTGGTATTTTTCAATCAGGCCTACATATTTAATTTTATTTTTACATATTATTAATGATACTATTCTGTGAATGAAAGGTATGCTACATCTCTTGAACCTTTGTGTGACAGTCATTGTACATGTCTGACAGTTATTGTACGTGTCTGATAATCATTGTATGTGTCTGACAATTATTGTACGTATTTGACCATCATTGTATGTGTCTGACAGTCAATGTATGTGTCTGACAGTCATTGTATGTGTCTGACAGTCATTGTATGTGTCTAACAGTCATTGTATGTGTCTGACAGTCATTGTATGTGTCTAACAGTCATTGTATGTGTCTGACAGTTTCTTCCTAAATCTTACACATATATTCCTTATAGAACTTTGCTCATCCTTTTAGTGTAGAGGACTCCATGTTAAGTTTGACCCCCCCCCCTGTAGAGGACTACATGTTAAGTTTGACCCCCCCCCTGTAGAGGACCATGTTAAGTTTGACCCCCCCCCCCTGTAGAGGACTCCATGTTAAGTTTGACCCCCCCCCCCTGTAGAGGACCATGTTAAGTTTGACCCCCCCCCCCTGTAGAGGACCATGTTAAGTTTGACCCCCCCCCCTGTAGAGGACTACATGTTAAGTTTGACCCCCCCCCCCCTGTAGAGGACTACATGTTAAGTTTGACCCCCCCCCCTGTAGAGGACTACATGTTAAGTTTGACCCCCCCCCCCTGTAGAGGACTACATGTTAAGTTTGACCCCCCCCCCTGTAGAGGACTCCATGTTAAGTTTGACCCCCCCCCCTGTAGAGGACCATGTTAAGTTTGACCCCCCCCCCCCTGTAGAGGACCATGTTAAGTTTGACCCCCCCTGTAGAGGACTACATGTTAAGTTTGACCCCCCCCCCTGTAGAGGACTCCCATGTTAAGTTTGACCCCCCCTGTAGAGGACTCTATGTTAAGTTTGACCCCCCCCCTGTAGAGGACTACATGTTAAGTTTGACCCCCCCCCCTGTAGAGGACTCCATGTTAAGTTTGACCCCCCCTGTAGAGGACCATGTTAAGTTTGACCCCCCCCCTGTAGAGGACTCCATGTTAAGTTTGACCCCCCCCCCTGTAGAGGACTCCATGTTAAGTTTGACCCCCCCTGTAGAGGACCATGTTAAGTTTGACCCCCCCCCCCTGTAGAGGACTCCATGTTAAGTTTGACCCCCCCCCCTGTAGAGGACTCTATGTTAAGTTTGACCCCCCCCCCTGTAGAGGACCATGTTAAGTTTGACCCCCCCTGTAGAGGACCATGTTAAGTTTGACCCCCCCCCTGTAGAGGACTCCATGTTAAGTTTGACCCCCCCCCTGTAGAGGACCATGTTAAGTTTGACCCCCCCTGTAGAGGACCATGTTAAGTTTGACCCCCCCCCTGTAGAGGACCATGTTAAGTTTGACCCCCCCTGTAGAGGACTCCATGTTAAGTTTGACCCCCCCCCTGTAGAGGACTACATGTTAAGTTTGACCCCCCCTGTAGAGGACCATGTTAAGTTTGACCCCCCCCCCCCTGTAGAGGACCATGTTAAGTTTGACCCCCCCCCCTGTAGAGGACTACATGTTAAGTTTGACCCCCCCTGTAGAGGACTCCATGTTAAGTTTGACCCCCCCTGTAGAGGACCATGTTAAGTTTGACCCCCCCCCCCTGTAGAGGACCATGTTAAGTTTGACCCCCCCCCCTGTAGAGGACTACATGTTAAGTTTGACCCCCCCCCCCTGTAGAGGACCATGTTAAGTTTGACCCCCCCCCCCTGTAGAGGACCATGTTAAGTTTGACCCCCCCCCCTGTAGAGGTCTCCATGTTAAGTTTGACCCCCCCCCTGTAGAGGACTCCATGTTAAGTTTGACCCCCCCCCTGTAGAGGACTACATGTTAAGTTTGACCCCCCCTGTAGAGGACTCCATGTTAAGTTTGACCCCCCCCCCTGTAGAGGACTCCATGTTAAGTTTGACCCCCCCCCCCTGTAGAGGACCTGCCATGTTAAGTTTGACCCCCCCTGTAGAGGACCATGTTAAGTTTGACCCCCCCCCCCCTGTAGAGGACTCCATGTTAAGTTTGACCCCCCCCCCCTGTAGAGGACTCCATGTTAAGTTTGACCCCCCCCCCCTGTAGAGGACCATGTTAAGTTTGACCCCCCCCTGTAGAGGACTCCATGTTAAGTTTGACCCCCCCCCCCCCCTGTAGAGGACTCCATGTTAAGTTTGACCCCCCCTGTAGAGGACCATGTTAAGTTTTGACAGAGGACTCCATGTTAAGTTTGACCCCCCCCCCTGTAGAGGACCATGTTAAGTTTGACCACCCCCCTGTAGAGGACTACATGTTAAGTTTGACCCCCCCCCCTGTAGAGGACTCCATGTTAAGTTTGACCCCCCCTGTAGAGGACTCCATGTTAAGTTTGACCCCCCCCCTGTAGAGGACCATGTTAAGTTTGACCCCCCCCCCCTGTAGAGGACTCCATGTTAAGTTTGACCCCCCCCCCCTGTAGAGGACTCCATGTTAAGTTTGACCCCCCCCCTGTAGAGGACCATGTTAAGTTTGACCCCCCCCCCTGTAGAGGACTCCATGTTAAGTTTGACCCCCCCCCCTGTAGAGGACTCCATGTTAAGTTTGACCCCCCCTGTAGAGGACCATGTTAAGTTTGACCCCCCCCCCCTGTAGAGGACTCCATGTTAAGTTTGACCCCCCCCCTGTAGAGGACCATGTTAAGTTTGACCCCCCCCCCCCCTGTAGAGGACTCCATGTTAAGTTTGACCCCCCCTGTAGAGGACCATGTTAAGTTTGACCCCCCCCCCTGTAGAGGACTCCATGTTAAGTTTGACCCCCCCCCTGTAGAGGACTCCATGTTAAGTTTGACCCCCCCCCCCTGTAGAGGACTCCATGTTAAGTTTGACCCCCCCCCCTGTAGAGGACTACATGTTAAGTTTGACCCCCCCCCTGTAGAGGACTCCATGTTAAGTTTGACCCCCCCCCCTGTAGAGGACCATGTTAAGTTTGACCCCCCCCTGTAGAGGACTCCATGTTAAGTTTGACCCCCCCCCTGTAGAGGACCATGTTAAGTTTGACCCCCCCTGTAGAGGACCATGTTAAGTTTGACCCCCCCCCCTGTAGAGGACTCCCATGTTAAGTTTGACCCCCCCCCCTGTAGAGGACTCCATGTTAAGTTTGACCCCCCCCCCCTGTAGAGGTATCCATGTTAAGTTTGACCCCCCCCCCTTGTAGAGGACTCCATGTTAAGTTTGACCCCCCCCCCCTGTAGAGGACTCCATGTTAAGTTTGACCCCCCCCCCCTGTAGAGGACTCCATGTTAAGTTTGACCCCCCCCCCCCTGTAGAGGACTCCATGTTAAGTTTGACCCCCCCCCTGTAGAGGACCATGTTAAGTTTGACCCCCCCCCCTGTAGAGGACTCCATGTTAAGTTTGACCCCCCCCCCTGTAGAGGACCATGTTAAGTTTGACCCCCCCCCCTGTAGAGGACTCCATGTTAAGTTTGACCCCCCCCCCCTGTAGAGGACCATGTTAAGTTTGACCCCCCCCCTGTAGAGGACCATGTTAAGTTTGACCCCCCCCTGTAGAGGACTCCATGTTAAGTTTGACCCCCCCCCTGTAGAGGTATCCATGTTAAGTTTGACCCCCCCTGTAGAGGACCATGTTAAGTTTGACCCCCCCCTGTAGAGGACTCCATGTTAAGTTTGACCCCCCCTGTAGAGGACCATGTTAAGTTTGACCCCCCCCCCCCTGTAGAGGACCATGTTAAGTTTGACCCCCCCCCTGTAGAGGACCATGTTAAGTTTGACCCCCCCCCCCTGTAGAGGACTCCATGTTAAGTTTGACCCCCCCCCTGTAGAGGACTCCATGTTAAGTTTGACCCCCCCCCCCCCCCCCTGTAGAGGACTCCATGTTAAGTTTGACCCCCCCCCCCCCTGTAGAGGACTACATGTTAAGTTTGACCCCCCCTGTAGAGGACTCCATGTTAAGTTTGACCCCCCCCCCCCCTGTAGAGGACTACATGTTAAGTTTGACCCCCCCCCTGTAGAGGACTCCATGTTAAGTTTGACCCCCCCCCCCTGTAGAGGACTCCATGTTAAGTTTGACCCCCCCCCCCTGTAGAGCTCCATGTTAAGTTTGACCCCCCCCCTGTAGAGGACCATGTTAAGTTTGACCCCCCCCCCTGTAGAGGACTCCATGTTAAGTTTGACCCCCCCCCCCTGTAGAGGACCATGTTAAGTTTGACCCCCCCTGTAGAGGACCATGTTAAGTTTGACCCCCCCCTGTAGAGGACTCCATGTTAAGTTTGACCCCCCCCCCCTGTAGAGGACCATGTTAAGTTTGACCCCCCCCCCCTGTAGAGGACTCTATGTTAAGTTTGACCCCCCCCCTGTAGAGGACTCTATGTTAAGTTTGACCCCCCCCCCTGTAGAGGACTCTATGTTAAGTTTGACCCCCCCCCCTGTAGAGGACCATGTTAAGTTTGACCCCCCCCCCTGTAGAGGACCATGTTAAGTTTGACCCCCCCCTGTAGAGGACCATGTTAAGTTTGACCCCCCCCCCCCTGTAGAGGACTCCATGTTTAGTTTGACCCCCCCCCCCCCCCCCCCCCCCCTGTAGTTGGTATAATGAACCTAATCCCATATTTTTTTTTATTTCAGTAGACAGAAGATGTGAGATCTGAACCAGCCTTTGGGCCAGTGTTTCAAATTTGCACCATATAACATGAGGGTAATTCAGCCTTTAGAAAAAAACTTTTCAACTACCATATTTTTAAAAAATGTTTTTTGTGCACATATTATGTGATTGTGTAATTGTTTGAAGTATTTCTTCCAGACAAGAATGTTGAACCCATGTAAAAGTACCTGGAAGCTCTTGGTACGTTTGGTAGGTGGCCTTAGCTTAATCTGCATCTTACTGTGGGTAGGCTGGCGGCCAACAGTCCACACAATCAGGTTTTTTTGGAGTCAAGACTACAGGGCTTGTATGATGCAGAAACGTAACTATGAGTTGGAGGTGAGTTCATGGAATCATTAGTCACTCTATTGCCCCCGCCTTACCCCATTAAAGTTTTATATGTCACACCCCATGGAAGTTTGACTTAATTAATTATTAATTGAAATTAATATCCTTTGACCTCCCAGGAAAAGTCCACACCTCTGTATGTTACCCTCAAGTTTCACGGCCGACTTGGTAATTGGATGTACAGCTATGCCTCCCTGCTGGGTGTGGCCAGGGCCAACGGGTACATACCCTACTTGACCACCTCTCATCCACTGGTCAGTTATTTCCACATCACCAAAGTTCGTCCAGAAGATGCTCAGTGCCTGTACACAGTCTTTGATGACCTCCCTTGCACATACAATCCTGAGTTGATGAACCTGCCTGCTGGCAACATTTCTATTGATGGCTATCTCCAGTCCTGGAAGTATTTTCGTTTTATGGAAGAGGATGTTAGGAGGGAGCTGAAGATGCACACCCATTTGAAGACTCAGGCCAAGGAGCAGTTCTCCAGGTACGTTGGTAAGTACATCCAGGAGGGCAGGCTGGTCATCAGCATCCATGTTCGTAGGGGTGACGTCCTGCTGCCTGAAGCCCGCAAGCTTGGCTTCTGTGAGGCGCCCAGATCTTATCTGGAGAATGCCATGAAATACATGCTGACAAGGTACCCTCACTCTGTGTTTTTTGTGGCATCTGATGACATCAGGTGGTGCAAGGAGAATCTGGTGCCTGTTTCCTCAGGGAACCAAACTGTTCCAATTCTATTCTCAGAGAGTAATTCATATTGGGAAGATTTTGCAATGTTGACCTTATGCAACCATTCCATCATTTCTGTTGGCACTTTTGGATGGTGGAGTGCCTGGCTAGCTAATGGCCATGTTGTATACTACAAAGACTTCCCTATACCAGGTACTAAAGTAGACTATGAGACCAAGAAAGAAGATTTCTTCCCTCCTCATTGGGTAGGGCTATCAGCTAGCTGTGCTAATCAATACAGTTGGCTACTGATTGCTTGCTTGATGGTTGGGACAGTTTTATTCTTCAATAAGTGAAATCAAGACAAATTGTGCTTAGGATTTTCAGATGAATTTGTTGAGGATATTATAATTTAGCAAACACTTTTTAAATAATTAAATAGTTCAAATTTCAATGTGAAGAAGTCAAACACAAGTCATTAAAGGTGAAGGTCATCACCCTAAAAGAATCCACAAGGCAGCTGTTGTTTAATTTTGGAGTTGTCCCCCCCTAAATGGGGTTGCTGTCCCCATTAACAAGCCTCATCTACCCAGGATTCGTGTGGTTATCATGTGGTGTTTGTGTGGTCATCATGTGGTGTTTGTGTGGTTATCATGTGGTGTTTGTGTGGTCATCATGTGGTGTTTGTGTGGTCATCATGTGGTGTTTGTGTGGTCATCATGTGGTGTTTGTGTGGTCATCATGTGGTGTTTGTGTGGTCATCATGTGGTGTTTGTGTGGTCATCATGTGGTGTTTGTGTGGTCATCATGTGGTGTTTGTGTGGTCATCATGTGGTGTTTGTATCATGTGGTGTTTGTGTGGTCATCATGTGGTGTTTGTGTGGTCATCATGTGGTGTTTGTGTGGTCATCATGTGGTGTTTGTGTGGTCATCATGTGGTGTTTGTATCATGTGGTGTTTGTGTGGTCATCATGTGGTGTTTGTGTGGTCATCATGTGGTGTTTGTGTGGTCGTGTGGTGTTTGTGTGGTCATCATGTGGTGTTTGTGTGGTCATCATGTGGTGTTTGTGTGGTCGTGTGGTGTTTGTGTCATGTGGTGTTTGTGTGGTCATGTGGTGTTTGTGTGGTCATCACGTGGTGTTTGTGTGGTCATCACGTGGTGTTCGTGTGGTCATCATGTGGTGTTTGTGTGGTCATCATGTGGTGTTTGTGTGGTCATCATGTGGTGTTTGTGTGGTCATCATGTGGTGTTTGTGTGGTCATCATGTGGTGTTTGTGTGGTCATCATGTGGTGTTTGTGTGGTCGTGTGGTGTTTGTGTGGTCATCATGTGGTGTTTGTGTGGTCATCATGTGGTGTTTGTGTGGTCATCATGTGGTGTTTGTGTGGTCATCATGTGGTGTTTGTGTGGTCATCATGTGGTGTTTGTGTCATGTGGTGTTTGTGTGGTCATCATGTGGTGTTTGTGTGGTCATCATGTGGTGTTTGTGTGGTCATCATATGGTGTTTGTGTGGTCATCATGTGGTGTTTGTGTGGTCATCATGTGGTGTTTGTGTGGTCATCATGTGGTGTTTGTGTGGTCATCATGTGGTGTTTGTGTGGTCATCATGTGGTGTTTGTGTGGTCATGTGGTGTTTGTGTCATGTGGTGTTTGTGTGGTCATTATGTGGTGTTTGTGTGGTGTGTGGTCATCATGTGGTGTTTGTGTGGTGTGTGGTCATCATGTGGTGTTTGTGTGGTCATCATGTGGTGTTTGTGTGGTCATCATGTGGTGTTTGTGTGGTCATCATGTGGTGTTTGTGTGGTCATCATGTGGTGTTTGTGTGGTGTGTGGTCATCATGTGGTGTTTGTGTGGTCATGTGGTGTTTGTGTGGTCATCATGTGGTGTTTGTGTGGTCATCATGTGGTGTTTGTATCATGTGGTGTTTGTGTGGTCATCATGTGGTGTTTGTGTGGTCATCATGTGGTGTTCGTGTGGTCATCATGTGGTGTTTGTGTGGTCATCATGTGGTGTTTGTGTGGTCATCATGTGGTGTTTGTGTGGTCATCATGTGGTGTTTGTGTGGTCATCATGTGGTGTTCGTGTGGTCATCATGTGGTGTTTGTGTGGTCATCATGTGGTGTTTGTGTGGTCATCATGTGGTGTTTGTGTGGTCATCATGTGGTGTTTGTGTGGTCATCATGTGGTGTTTGTGTTGTCATCATGTGGTGTTTGTGTGGTCGTGTGGTGTTTGTGTGGTCATGTGGTGTTTGTGTGGTCATGTGGTGTTTGTGTCATCATCACGTGGTGTTTGTGTGGTCATCATGTGGTGTTTGTGTGGTCATCATGTGGTGTTTGTGTGGTCATCATGTGGTGTTTGTGTGGTCATCATGTGGTGTTTGTGTGGTCATCATGTGGTGTTTGTGTGGTCATCATGTGGTGTTTGTGTGGTCATCATGTGGTGTTTGTGTGGTCATCATGTGGTGTTTGTGTGGTCATCATGTGGTGTTTGTGTGGTCATCATGTGGTGTTTGTGTGGTCATCATGTGGTGTTTGTGTGGTCATCATGTGGTGTTTGTGTCATGTGGTGTTTGTGTGGTCATCATGTGGTGTTTGTGTGGTCATCATGTAGTGTTTGTGTGGTCATCATATGATGTTTGTGTGGTCATCATGTGGTGTTTGTGTGGTCATCATGTGGTGTTTGTGTGGTCATCATGTGGTGTTTGTGTGGTCATCATGTGGTGTTTGTGTGGTCATCATGTGGTGTTTGTGTGGTCATGTGGTGTTTGTGTCATGTGGTGTTTGTGTGGTCATCATGTGGTGTTTGTGTGGTGTGTGGTCATCATGTGGTGTTTGTGTGGTGTGTGGTCATCATGTGGTGTTTGTGTGGTCATCATGTGGTGTTTGTGTGGTCATCATGTGGTGTTTGTGTGGTCATCATGTGGTGTTTGTGTGGTCATCATGTGGTGTTTGTGTGGTGTGTGGTCATCATGTGGTGTTTGTGTGGTCATGTGGTGTTTGTGTGGTCATCATGTGGTGTTTGTGTGGTCATCATGTGGTGTTTGTATCATGTGGTGTTTGTGTGGTCATCATGTGGTGTTTGTGTGGTCATCATGTGGTGTTCGTGTGGTCATCATGTGGTGTTTGTGTGGTCATCATGTGGTGTTTGTGTGGTCATCATGTGGTGTTTGTGTGGTCATCATGTGGTGTTTGTGTGGTCATCATATGGTGTTTGTGTGGTCATCATGTGGTGTTTGTGTGGTCATCATGTGGTGTTTGTATCATGTGGTGTTTGTGTGGTCATGTGGTGTTTGTGTGGTCATCATGTGGTGTTTGTGTGGTCATCATGTGGTGTTTGTGTGGTCATCATGTGGTGTTTGTGTGGTCATCATGTGGTGTTTGTGTGGTCATCATGTGGTGTTTGTGTGGTCATCATGTGGTGTTTGTGTGGTCATCATGTGGTGTTTGTATCATGTGGTGTTTGTGTGGTCATCATGTGGTGTTTGTGTGGTCATCATGTGGTGTTTGTGTGGTCATTATGTGGTGTTTGTATCATGTGGTGTTTGTGTGGTCATCATGTGGTGTTTGTGTGGTCATCATGTGGTGTTCAAGTGGTCATCATGTGGTGTTTGTGTGGTCATCATGTGGTGTTTGTGTGGTCATCATGTGGTGTTTGTGTGGTCATCATGTGGTGTTTGTGTGGTCATCATGTGGTGTTTGTGTGGTCATCATGTGGTGTTTGTGTGGTCATCATGTGGTGTTTGTGTGGTCATGTGGTGTTTGTGTAGTCATCATGTGGTGTTTGTGTGGTCATCATGTGGTGTTTGTGTGGTCATCATGTGGTGTTTGTGTGGTCATCATGTGGTGTTCGTGTGGTCATCATGTGGTGTTTGTGTGGTCATCATGTGGTGTTTGTGTGGTCATGTGGTGTTTGTGTCATCATCACGTGGTGTTTGTGTGGTGTGTGGTCATCATGTGGTGTTTGTGTGGTCATCATGTGGTGTTTGTGTGGTCATGTGGTGTTTGTGTCATCATCACGTGGTGTTTGTGTGGTCATCATGTGGTGTTTGTGTGGTCATCATGTGGTGTTTGTGTGGTCATCATGTGGTGTTTGTGTGGTCATCATGTGGTGTTTGTGTGGTCATCATGTGGTGTTTGTGTGGTCATCATGTGGTGTTTGTGTGGTCATCATGTGGTGTTTGTATCATGTGGTGTTTGTGTGGTCATCATGTGGTGTTTGTGTGGTCATCATGTGGTGTTTGTATCATGTGGTGTTTGTGTGGTCATCATGTGGTGTTTGTGTGGTCATCATGTGGTGTTTGTGTGGTCATCATGTGGTGTTTGTGTGGTCATCATGTGGTGTTCGTGTGGTCATCATGTGGTGTTTGTGTGGTCATCATGTGGTGTTTGTGTGGTCATCATGTGGTGTTTGTGTGGTCATCATGTGGTGTTTGTGTGGTCATCATGTGGTGTTTGTGTTGTCATCATGTGGTGTTTGTGTGGTCGTGTGGTGTTTGTGTGGTCATGTGGTGTTTGTGTGGTCATGTGGTGTTTGTGTCATCATCACGTGGTGTTTGTGTGGTCATCATGTGGTGTTTGTGTGGTCATCATGTGGTGTTTGTGTGGTCATCATGTGGTGTTTGTGTGGTCATCATGTGGTGTTTGTGTGGTCATCATGTGGTGTTTGTGTGGTCATCATGTGGTGTTTGTGTGGTCATCATGTGGTGTTTGTGTGGTCATCATGTGGTGTTTGTGTGGTCATCATGTGGTGTTTGTGTGGTCATCATGTGGTGTTTGTGTGGTCATCATGTGGTGTTTGTGTGGTCATCATGTGGTGTTTGTATCATGTGGTGTTTGTGTGGTCATCATGTGGTGTTTGTGTGGTCATCATGTGGTGTTTGTGTGGTCATTATGTGGTGTTTGTATCATGTGGTGTTTGTGTGGTCATCATGTGGTGTTTGTGTGGTCATCATGTGGTGTTCAAGTGGTCATCATGTGGTGTTTGTGTGGTCATCATGTGGTGTTTGTGTGGTCATCATGTGGTGTTTGTGTGGTCATCATGTGGTGTTTGTGTGGTCATCATGTGGTGTTTGTGTGGTCATCATGTGGTGTTTGTGTGATCATCATGTGGTGTTTGTGTGGTCATGTGGTGTTTGTGTAGTCATCATGTGGTGTTTGTGTGGTCATCATGTGGTGTTTGTGTGGTCATCATGTGGTGTTTGTGTGGTCATCATGTGGTGTTCGTGTGGTCATCATGTGGTGTTTGTGTGGTCATCATGTGGTGTTTGTGTGGTCATGTGGTGTTTGTGTCATCATCACGTGGTGTTTGTGTGGTGTGTGGTCATCATGTGGTGTTTGTGTGGTCATCATGTGGTGTTTGTGTGGTCATGTGGTGTTTGTGTCATCATCACGTGGTGTTTGTGTGGTCATCATGTGGTGTTTGTGTGGTCATCATGTGGTGTTTGTGTGGTCATCATGTGGTGTTTGTGTGGTCATCATGTGGTGTTTGTGTGGTCATCATGTGGTGTTTGTGTGGTCATCATGTGGTGTTTGTGTGGTCATCATGTGGTGTTTGTATCATGTGGTGTTTGTGTGGTCATCATGTGGTGTTTGTGTGGTCATCATGTGGTGTTTGTATCATGTGGTGTTTGTGTGGTCATCATGTGGTGTTTGTGTGGTCATCATGTGGTGTTTGTGTGGTCATCATGTGGTGTTTGTGTGGTCATCAT